GAGCTAAGAATAACCTGCCATATTGATTCTGAGCCCTTTGCGCCAAGCGCACCCTCCACGCCATTGGGCCCGCTTCTGTTCTGGCGGCGTATGAGTCTGACCTGCTCGTCGCGGATGCATCGGTGACTGTTCTGGCTGTCGTAGTGGCCGCCGTTGTGCGCTTGTTCGTGGGAGTTGCTGTCGTGGTTGTGAAGGTAGTCTTGGTGGTCTTCGTGGTGTTCTTGCGCGTGAGAGTAGCTGCTGTGGCTGCTGTAGTAGCTGTCGTGGTTCGCGTACTCGTGAGAGCCGCTGTCGTAACTACTGTGGCTATCGTGGTGGCCGTGTCGTACTGTGCTTCCGCTTGAGTGCCGCTGTGGTGCTTGTGGGGGCTATCATGGTACTCGTCGTGGTGTGCGTGCTCGTAAGAGTCGCTGTCGCCGTTGTCGTGGCTGTCGTGGTGACCGTCGTGGCGTGCTTGTTGGTGCTAGTCGCTGTCGCGGCTGTCATGGTGGTCGTCGTGGTGCGCTTGATCGTTATGGCCTCCGTGATGTGCTTGCTTGACGTGAATGCCGCGGTGACAGTCGTGGCTGTTGTAGTGGACGTCGTGATGCGCTTGCTCGCGGCATCCGCTGTGGATATCGTGGTAGCCGTGGTGACACGCGTGCTTGTGAGAGTCGCTGTGGTTATTTTCGTGGTTGGCGTGGTGGCCGCCGTGGTGTGTTTGCACGTCGTGGGTGCCGCGGTGGCTGTCATGGCTGTCGTGGTGGCCGTCGCTGTGCGCTTGCTCGTTGGAGTCGCTGTCGCGGCTGTCGTGGTAGTCGTAAGTAGTGGTCGTCGTGGTGTGCTTGCCGTCGTGGTAGTTGTCGTGGCGTGCGTGGTCGTGGGCGTCGCTGCATTAGCTGTCGCGGCTGTCGTGGCGGTTGCCGGGGTATGCCTGCTTGTCGTGGATGCCGCGGTGGCTGTCGTAGCTGACGTGGTGGCTGTCGTGGAGCGCTTGCTTTTGAATGCCATTCTCGGGCTTGTAATGGCTGCCGTGGTACTCGTCGTGGTGCGCGTGCTCGTGAAAGTCGCTGTCGTGGCTGTCGTGGCTGTCGCGGTGGCCGCCGTGGCGTGCTTGCTGGTGTGAGTCGCTGTCGTGGCTGTCGTGGCTGTTGCCGCTGTTGCGGTGGCTGGTGTAGCTTGCTTGCATGTGAGTCGCTGTCGTGGTTGTTATGGCTGTCGTGGTAATCGTCGTTGTGTACGTGCTCGTTAGGGTCGCTGTCGTGGCTGTTGTGATGGCCGCCGTGGTGTGCTAGCTTGTCGTGGATGCCGCGGTGACTGCCGTGGCTGTCGCAGTGGCCGCCGTGATGCGTTGCAGGCTGCAGTCGCTGTCGTGGCTGTCGTGGCCGTCGCGGTGGCCGTCGTGGTGCGCGTGCTCGTGAGAGTCGCTGTCCTGGCGGTCGTAATAGCCGTAGTGGTGTGCGTGCTCGTGGAGGTCGCTGTAATGGCTCTCGTGGCTGTCGCGGTGGCCGCGTGGTGTGCTTGCTTGTCGCGGATACCGCGGGAATTGTCATGGCTGTCGTAATGACCGTGGTAGTTGTTGTGCCGTCCTCCTCCTCCTCCTCCTCCTCCTCCACCTCATCATCATCATCATCATCATCATCATCATCATCATCATCATCATCGTCATCATCATCATCATCATCATCATCATCATCATCATCATCATCATCATCAGCATCATCATCATCATCATGATCATGATCATGATCATGATCATCATCATCATCATCATCATCATCATCAGCATCATCATCATCATCATCAGCACCATCATCATCATCATCATCATCATCCTCATCCTCATCCTCATCATCATCATCATCATCATCATCGTCGTCGTCGTCATCATCATCATCATCATCATCATCATCATCATTGTCATCGTCATCAGCATCATCAACATCATCATCATCATCGTCAACATAATCATCACCACCGCCATCATCACCACCACCGCCATCACCACCACCATCATCATGATCAGTACCATCATCATCATCACCACCATCATCATCAGCAGCATCATCATTATCATCAGCAACCGCAGTAGCAACAGCAGCATTGTCATCATCATCATCAATGTCAGCATCATCGGTGCGCGCAGCAGACACGCGAGATCGGCGAGTGCCTCATCGGCACTGTTCTCTGCCAGTCCGACGCGAAAGAGCTGCTGGAGATGTCGGGGCAATCGCACAACTACGCGGAGGCGGTGATGCGCGACGGCAAGGGCCACGAGCACGGGGCGCCGTACATCTGGGCGTTCGCGGGGCTGGTCGAGTCCCCAAGGAGCAGGGCAGCGCGGTCGGGGTCGCCAACGCGAAGAGCATCCAGGGCATCTGGGAGCGGCTGGACGCTCACTTGGTGGAGGAGAAGATGGAGGTCACCAGGATGCGTCGTCTAGACGAAACGTGCGACAAAGAGGAGAAGCGGATCACCGTCGTCCTGCGCGACGAGGTGGAGGCAGGCGATCATCACTTCATGCTTTCAGGTGGGGATGGCTCGCAAGCAGGGGAAGGCGCCAGCTTCGTTCATGGAGAGCAAGCTGCAGGATTGCATGAGACACCTGTTGCAATAGCTGCAGGAATACGTGAACCACCTGCTATAGTAGCTGCCATCTCCTCCTCCTCCTCTTCTAGAGGCATCCTAGATTGGGTCCGAGTAGATGGGGTCGAAGGATCGCGCCGCATGGCCAATGCATCGGCGATACATCGCCGATGCATCGCCGATGCATCGGCGACGTCGGCAATGCATCGGCGACTTCGGCGTGGATAAAATCGGGCTCCGCATCGAGCCGCATCGCAGATGCATCGGCGATGCGGCGCGATCCTCCAACCCCATCTACTCGGACCCCATCTTGGAAGCCTAGATCTTCCTACTTCCTCGGGGGAGCCTCCGAGGTCTTTGGGTCCCGTGGGAGCCCCGCCTTTGGCGTGCCCTCTTGTTTCCATGGGCATCGAGCGGGGCAGCGCCCGCTGGAGCACTCTCTTGGGCAGTGAGAGGCTGCGCTCATTGGTGCGCTCGAGGTGATAGAATCTTACGGCAAGTTCGTGTCGTGCCGACTTCGGCGTTGGTTTTTGACACCGCGGGGATCGTTCAACCTTGGACGACCGGCCGTTTCCGAAACGTCCGAATCGTTCCACATCGAACGATTCTGGGCCGCCCGCGGCGTTCAACGTTGAACGCCGCCGGCGGGGTCGCCGCCGGTCGATAAGACACGAACCTACCGTATCTGCAATCGGCTGGGTGCGCTACGACACGACACGAACCTCTCTTGGGTAGTACACGACCTACCGATCGACACGACACGACACGAACCTCTCTTGGGTAGAAAAAGGTTGCGCTCGATGGTGCAACGCGCGCGGCGGTAGACTCATATCTGCAATCGGCCGCAACTCACGAGTCGGTGGGCGGGGCCAGCCGTGGGGCCAACGTCGGCCCGTAGCGCGCCCCCCATGGCCCCGTCGTTTCGCTGGTCGCCTCGGTCTCGGCACCGTACGCCGCCTCTCGTGTTTGTGGAAAGTGCGGGTGGGAAGCTCGGTCGGGTCGGATCGCCGATTCTTTTTTTTCGCATACGCCGAGGAGCAGGAGCAGCCCCTCCACACACAACAGATCTAAAGGGGCGGATGGTGCTCAATGACATGAAAATCAGTACCATCATCATCACCACCACCATCATCATCATCAGCATCATCGTCCTCATCAACACCACCATCATCATCATCAGCAGCATCATCATCAACATCGTCATCATCATCATCATCAGCATCATCAACATCGTCATCACCATCATCATAATCATTATAAGTATCATCATCATCATCATCATCATCATCATCATCATCATCATCATCATCAACATCAACATCAACATCAACATCATCATCATCATCATCATCATCATCATCATCATCATCATCATCATCATCATCATCATCATCATCATCATCCGCAAGTTCATCATCTTTTCCCCTCCTCCTCTTCCTCCTCCTGCTCCTGCTCCTGCTCCTTCTCCTGCTCCTCCTCCCTCGAATGATAACGACTGTCCTCAATTTTGCTCCTACGCTTCCATGGTCGTCTCAACTCACCTGGGAGTCGGTTGGGGATGGGTTGGTGGGGATACAAGAAACGTCAAGAAGTATGGGGATTTGCATGGTGCTGCGACTGCTGGGGCCAGGGAGAAAGCCAAGGCGCCTCTGGAAACGATGAGGGCAGAAGGAAAAGGGGGCAGGAGGATAGAGAAGAAGCGCGCGGGTCGTTCCCTACTGGTGGGTTTCATCCCGTCTTGAAGCCGTCTTCGCTTCTTCCAGCAAGAACTGGAATGGGCGGGCGGAAAACTCGAAGCGTGTCGAATAATCCTCTAAAAGGCTCCCATCTTGAAACGAATCGCAAGCATGAATGGTTCACTCCTCCTTCACAGGCGGATCCCGAGTTTCGGCTTGACGGGTTGCCCTCATATGGAAAACTTGGGGAAACTATCCGTCGGGATGTTTCTTGTGAAGCTGATGTGAGGGGTAACGATAGTGGGGGACTTGCATAGGGGGGGATGCATCGACCTGGAATCGGCGATACATCGCCGATAGATCGGCGATAGGCCCCAGCTCGTGAATCCGCACCTTCCTGGGCAGGTGGGGGCTATCGGGTCCCTATCGGCGATCAATGGACGATTGGGGGTCGATGCATCCCCCCCAATGCCTATACCCCCCTATCGTTGCCCCTGATGATGCCTGGGCACGAGCGGTCAGCATCGAATCGGGAAATCGGATCGCATAGAAAGGGTCGCCAGAGAGGCCACCAGCGGAACGAATTCGGAATCGAATCGAATCGGCCGCGCCAGGGAGCACAACAGCGCCATACGTGCATCGGGCAATGTCGGATCGCCAGAATATCGGAACCGAATCGGGTCGGGTTGGCCGGCACCGATATCAGAACGGCTCGATCGGATCGAAATCGGCGCTGTTAGGGATGCAGTCCGCACAAACCTCGAAGTTGGCGTCCCCGTGGGTCTGGTTGTTGGTCGTCCATTCGGTCTTGTCGGCCCCCAGGACGACCGTGCCGGCCCCGCCTGACTGGGTGACGGCTGGAGAAGAAAAGAAGGATAAGGCATGAGGCCATATTGCTCAACCGTTCTCTCCACTAGCCCTGCCCTTCTACTTGTCTATATATACACATGCACATATATATATATACACCTACACGGCCACCCTTCGGGTGATAAGGAGGTTCGGGGGGGGGGAGGAACCAACGTCTCACTCGATCAGTCTCACTATCGATCTCACTATCGATCTCACTATCGGTCTCGCTCGATCAATCTCACTCGATCGATCTCACCATCGATCTCATTCGATCTTTTTCATTCGATCGATCTCACAATCGATCTGACTACCGATCTCACACTATCGATCTCACAATCGATCTCACATTCGGTCTCAATATCGATCTCACTATCGACATCACAATCGATCTCACAATCAACGTCATCATCATCGACATCATCGTCATCAACGTCATCAACATCATCATCATCATGATCATCATCATCATCATCATCATCATCATCATCATCATCATCATCATCATCATCGGGGCACCATCATCATCATCACCATCATCACCTCATCACCATCATCATCATCATCACCATCACCATCATCATCATCGGGACACCATCATCGTCACCATCGTCATCACCATCAGCATCATCATCATCGGGACACCATCATCATCATCAGCATCGGAGCAACACCATCATCATCATCATCATCATCATCATCATCATCTCATCATCATCATGAACAACATCACCAGCATCATCACCATCGGGACGCCATCATCATTTTCATCAACATCATCAACATCATCATCACTGGAACACCACCATCATCGTCACCACCATCATCATCATCATCATCATCATCATCATCATCATCATCATCGGGACACCATCATCATCATCAAACTCATCATCGGGCCACCATCATCAAAATCATCATCATCACCTCATCATCATCCTCATCATCCTCATCATCATCATCACTGGGACACCATCAGCGTCATCATCGTCAACATCATCATCATTGGGACACCATCATCATCACCACCATCATCATCAAGAGCATCATCATCAACCTCATCGTCACCATCACCATCGGGACACCATCATCATCATCTTCATCATCATCAGCATCATCATCTCATCATCTCATCACCATCAACATCATCAAGATCATCAACAACATCATCATCATCATCGGGACACCATCATCATCATTAGCATCATCAACATCATCATCACCAGGGCACCATCATCATCACCATCATCGGGAGACCATCATCATCATCACCACCATCATCAACAGCAGCATCATCAACCACATCATCATCATCATCATCATCATCATCATCATCATCATCATCATCGGGACACCATCATCATCATCAGCACCATCAACATCATCATCAACATCATCTACATCATTATCATCAACAGGGCACCATCATCATCATCATCAACACCATCATCATCAACATCATCATCATCATCACCGGGACACCATCATCACCATCAGTTTCACCATCATCATCATCATCACATCATCATCCTCTTATCATCGTCAACATCATCAGGATCATCAACATCATCATCATCATCATCATCAGCATCGTCGGGATACCATCATCATCATCAGCAACATCATCATCATCAACATCATGATCATCGGGACACCATCATCATCACCACCATCACCATCATCATCATCAACATCGTCAACATCATCATCATCACCATCATCGGGACACCATCATCATCACCACCATCACCATCACCATCACCATCATCATCATAAACATCATCAAGATCATCAACATCATCATCATCATCATCATCATCATCATCATCATCATCATCATCAACATCAACATCGTCATTATCATCATCATCATCATCATCATCATCATCATCATCATCATCATCATCATCATCATCATCATCTTCATCATCATCATCGTCATCGTCATCGTCATCGTCATCATCATCATCATCATCATCATCATCATCATCATCATCAACATCGGGACACAAACGGGACACCGGCGGGACACCAGCGGGAAACCGCGCCCCACCGGCCCCCGGAAAGGAAACATTTGGTCCGGCCGCGCCTCAGCCGGAAGCGGGACACCAGCGGGACACCGCGCCCCACCGGCCCCCGGAAAGGAAACATTTGGTCCGGCCGCGCCTCAGCCGGAGGAGACTTTCTTCTCGCCCGCCCACGCAGCTTCGCCTCGCCCGCACGCACGGCACGCACGAACACGAAACCAAAACCGATTTCCCGGTAGGGGGGCTCTCCGTTCCACTTCGATCTCACCCCCTCACCTTCGATACACGCGCTAGAACCAACGCGTATTGACATGCCGAAGGCTGGGCAACGATTGTGGATATGACTTTAGCCCGAATGCGCGGCGGAAACACGTGGAGAAGAACCCTTCCCTGAGCACGGGGGACTCCAGGAGGACGACGAAGAGAACGAGGGGGCGGTTTGGAGGTCGAGAAAGGGGAGAAGAGTCCAGGAGCACGACAAGCGGCGGAGACGAGGGCAGAACGGGAAGGAGGGGCAGGAGCAGAAGGAGAAGTGGAGTCCTGGAAGACGACTAGCAGGAGGCATACACAAAAAGGAGGGGCATCCGTGCCCTTCGTCCACGTTTGCCCCTCCTGGTGGCCTTCTGCACATCCTGCCACCGAGCCTGGGTTACTAGTGTGAAACTTTGTGAATGCCTGCTCGCGTCTCTGGGGACACCTCTGGGCAGCCTGTTGGGAACAACGGTGAAGCTTCGTGGGACTCTTTTCGGGGCCTCTTGTGGCCCTCTTGGGTCCTCTCGGAGGGGGGGTCCTTGGGGGCCTGCTGGCGATTTTCGGGGTCCTCTTGGGGCCGAGGCCTCGAAATATGGGTTCGCATTCCCCACCCCCACGAGCCCCTCTTGGAGCCTTCTTGGGCGGTCCAGGGTGCCTCTTGGCTCTTGGGCAGTCTTGGGGCTCTCTTGGGCCGTCGTGGGGCCCTCAGGGGGACCTCTTCGGACGTTGGGGGGGCTCTCCTAGGGGCCTCTGGGCCCGTCTTGGACGCTGGGCACATGAAAACAACGATTGCGATAGAAAATGTACGCTTTCCAACGGGAACGGGGCGATTTTGCCTCTTCGGGTTCTCTTGAGGGTCCTCTTGGAGCAGTCATGGAGCATCATGGGGGCCTGCTGGCGATCGTCGGGATCCTCGTGGGGCGGAAGCCGCGAAATATGGGTTCGAGAATCCCACCAGCCCTTCGGGCGTGAGTGGTTTAGAGAGCTCTCTCTGTTCTCAACCCCGTATCTTCCCCTTCGGGGAGGGGTTTACCCCTCCCCCTCCCCCCTCCCCCTGGACCTGGAGAGGGAGTTCCGAGTGGTGTCAAGGGTGTCTATTTCGACTCCTCGGAGGGCCAAAAAACGACGACCCTCACGAGGATTCTTGCCCTGGGGGGGGGCAGTTTGGCGCCTCAGCTCGTCTTCGAAGTCAAAAGCATTGATGTTACGATGGTTTTGGCCCCATTTTGGCCTTCTGAGGGGGCCGCGCTCATCTTCCACGAAGGTTTTGGGCTCATTTTGTCCTTCTCAGGGGGCAGCTCTCCTTTGCGCTTCTGCGGAGGTCGCAAGAGGCCCCAAGATGGCCCCAAGAGGCCCCCAGGAGGCTCCCAAGAGGCCTCCAAGAGGCCCCCCAGAGGCCCCCAAGCGGCCTCAAGAGGCCCCAAGAGGCCCCCAAGAGGCCCCCAAGAGGCCCCCAAGAGGCCCTACGAGGCCCCAAGAGGCCCCCAAGAGGCCCCCAAGAGGCCCCGAAGAGGCCCCCAAGAGGCCCCACGAGGCTCCAAGAGGCCCCCAAGAGGCCCCACGAGGAGCCCGAACGACTCACATCAGGACGAGGGGCCCGAACGACTCACACCACGAAGAGCCCGAACGACTCACACCACAAGGAGGGGCCCGAACGACTCACACCAGGACGAGGCGCCCGAACGACTCACACCACGAGGAGCCCGAAGGACTCACACCACGACGCGGGCCCCGAACGACTCACACCACGAGGAGCCCGAACGAGTCACACCAGGAGGAGGGGCCCGAACGACTCACACCAGGATGAGGGGCCCGAACAACTCACACCACGAGAAGCCCGAACGACTCACACCAGGACGAAGAGCCCGAACGACTCACACCACGAAGAGCCCGAACGACTCACACCAGGAAGAAGGGCCCGAACGACTCACACCAGGACGAGAAACCCCAAACGACTCAAATCACGAGGAGCGCTTTCTCTCCCTCCTCCTCCGCCTCGTCCTTCTCCCGCTCCCCTCACAAGGAGGATGTACAAGGAGGCGGGAGGAAGGAGGAACAGGGGAGATATGCGGGGCCAAGCGGACACACGCCTGAAAAACACGACTGCCGGCGTGCTTCGCGAGAGTTGCTGCAGTGAGATGGGCTGGTGGGGATACGCGAAGCGTAAAGAATTCTCCCCGCGGAGCCCCTGTTGAAGCTCTCTTCGGCTGCATTGGGCGGTCCAACTAAAATCAAGCATGTTATCGAAATCGCCATCGATGAAGTTTACAACGGAATGGAGGGCAAACCCATCTCTCGCTGCGAATGTGTACTGTGTGGGTCCCTTTTGGCCCGTCATGGGGAGCTGAGCCCGTCTTGGGGCCCTCTCCGATCATGTAGGGGTCCTCCGGTGGCCCCCTCGGGCCCCCTGGGGAATCTCTTGGGCCGTCGTGGCCGCTGTTAGGACTGCAGAACAATACATCTCGGAAGTAGACGCTTTTCCATCGGAAAAGCTTGATGTTTGCCCTTGGGGGGCCTGTTCGGCAATCTATTGGACCGTCTTGAGGGAGTCCTTTGGGGCCGTTTTTTTGCCCGTCGGGGGGCCCATTTCGGCGGTCCCGAGTCCCTCTTGACCCGTCATAGGGAGCTAAGCCCGTCTTGGGCCCTCTTGGAGCCCCCTCCAACCACGTAGGGATCCTCCCCCTCGGGCCCCCTGGGGACTCTTGGGACGTATTGGAGCTCTCTTGTGCTGCTCGAAGCTCTCTTCAGGCCGTCTTGGGGCCCGCCCCAAGAGGACCCCCAAGAGGGCCTGAAGAGGTGAACAACGTCGATTTCACCTTGGCTGTCGATCGCACACCGCAGCTTGTTGGCATTTGCGCACCAGAAACAAAAGCGCGCGTGTCGGCAAACTTCGACTCACGCAGCTCCGTGGATGTAGTCCACGGGTCCGCACTGGTATGTGTATACGCACATATATATATATATATATATATATACAAATGTATATGCGTACACATCTTGTCGAAGTGTCAGGCATGGAGCTCTGGAGAAATTGCTTGTTGCCAGGACGCAACAACAACAACGTGGATTCGCTGGACTGGCTTAGGCTTGTCCAGGTGCAACGAACACTCGATTCGCTTGGTTGACGTCCAAGGAATGGAGCTCTGGAGCGATTTGGGCTTCTCCGACGCTTGTTTACCAATGTCTCATTCATGCATCCTCCTTTTGCTCCTCCCTCTGCCTCCTACCTCCTCTCGTCTGCTCCTCTCTCCTCCCCCCCCCTCCCCTTCCCGCCTCCTCCCTCCTCCTCCCTCCTCCTCCCTCCCCCCGTTGCCTCCTCCCGCACGCGCCTTCTACCCCCCTGGGCGCCGCGAAGGCCTGGAGAGCTACGCGGCCGCGGCACCTCTGGAGCCACCTCCGCGCGGCGGCGGGGGCGGACGTTTCGTTTCGGACGTCTCACAGAGCACAGCGTGCACCAAAGCGGGGGGGGACAACGCCCATAACGCCCAGGGAGGAGGAGGAGGAGGAGGAGGAGGAGGAGGAGGAGGAGGAGGAGGAGGAGCAAGAAGAAAAACACAAACAAGGAGGAAAAAGACGGGGGCGGAAGCTGACGGAAGGCGCAGGGCGGAGGCGGGGAAGGACGAGGCGGACGCGGAGTGCGCAGGCGGGGCGGCGCCGCCCCTGGCGCGCTCCGCGCGCCAAGGAGGGGGGTCCAGCGCGAATCCAAGAAATTCGCGCGGAGCGCCAACAGTTTATATGTATGTGTTGTTGTTCGTCTTCTATGAAAACTGCACCCTGGCATACACGAAATCAAACACGCTTGTCAGGGAACAATGGGGTGACCTCGTTGCCGATGGCTCGCTGCACAGACGAGACGGCTTGGTGCGTAGGGTGCGGGGCCCCAATCCACGGCCAACCCTGCCGAATCGACTTGGCATGGGCAACTGGGTTTGTTCCCTAGGGTGAGTGGACACAAGGCCCCATGGGATTTACGGACCACGTGGCCCCAACTCTCAACCAAATGCGCAATCACCGTGCCTGGTCCCAAAGCCAATGAATGCTACGGGCGCAGCTGACGCCATAACCAAGAAGGGATAAAACCGCCAAACTGTGCGTGCCGAGCAAAAAACCGGTCGCACCTCTCCCTGCAAGCATCAAAAGCTCCTTGACAGTGTGCCCCGAAGGTGGGGAAGCGCCATGCACCAGAATACAGCACACAGCGCTCGCGCAGGGCACAATTATCGACGTGGAATCTGAGTGGCGTTTCGGAATCGATGGGTTCCCCTTAGCCGATATGGGACGCATACAATGGGTCCCGCTATAAGGAATCTCGGCCCACATCTGTCGTCAAGCGCTGGGCTTCTTGAGGTACCCCAGGGCGTCCGCGGGCCCACAAGGCCATCGTGGAACAATAATTCGATCGGGCATGTCCCCCTACAGGCGGACCGCGGACCCTGGACGAAAAAGAAAAGGTACAAACAATACTCGAACACTAACAACCAAATGAAAAAAACTAGAATATTCGCCATTCCTGGACTATTTTTGAATATTCCTCCCGTAGAGGGACAGGCCCGACTTGAACAAGAATATTCCGAGGGTCACCTGCTGGCAGTCGAGTATGTTATTTGACGTGCCTACGGCACCCCTCTTCCTGGCGCTGCCCCTGATCCTGCCTGCGCCCCTCCCCCCCCGAGGCTCTACCCTGGGCGCCCTCGGCGCCTCGTCCGAACTCGCGCCGAGGACCACCTGGGGGTGGGCGGGGCCGAAACCGGTGCCTCTCCTTCGCGAGAGTGAGAGACACCTTCCTCCTCCTCCTCCCTCCTCCTCCCTCCTCCTCCCTCCTCCTCCCTCCTCCTCCTCCTCCTCCTCCTCCTCCTCTCCTCCTCCTCCCTCCTCCTCCTCTCCTCCTCCTCCTCCTCCTCCTCCTCCTCCTCCTCCTCCTCCTCCTCCTCCTCCTCCTCCTCCTCCTCCTCCTCCTCCTCTCTCTCCTCCTCCTCCCACCTCCTCCTCCTCCTCCTCCTCCCTCCTCCCTCTTCCTCCTCCCCCCCCCTTCCTCCTCCTCCTCCTCCTCCTGCTCCTCCTCCTCCTCCTCCTCCTCCTCCACCTCCTCTTCCTCCTCCTCCTCCTCATCCTCCTCTGCCTTTTCCTCCTCCTCCTCCTCATCATTACCATCATTAACCTTACGCTGATGCTGCTGGCACTTTAAGGGGTACGATATTGCACGGCGAAAAGCAGAGGTGCAGCCGCAGGCACGACGCCCGCCCTATGGCAGGCGGGCTCAGATATGCAGGGTGGGGGGGACGAAAACGGCAGCTCCAGCCAAGAAGGCTGCAGAGAGAGGGGGAAGGAGAACAGGTGCGTGCACACCCATAGGGGATCCAACCGTTTAAGCCGACACAAACTAAACCAAATCCCCTACCAAACCCCATGCACTATGCAGGGAAAGGGGGGAGGGGAGAAACGGGTACCATTTTGCACTGCGAGAAGCAGGGGGTCAGCCGCAGGCGCGGGACCATCTCCCCCCCATTTTAGGCGGGTGGTGGCCCAAACACTGCGTCGGCCAGGGCTGTCCCTAACTGGGTTGACTCGAAAAGCCCGAAAAATATGAAAAGCCGGAAAAAGTCCCGGGTTGACCCGAAAAGCCCGAAATGCCCGAAAAGCCCGAAATGCCGAAACATCCTCGCAACTCGAGCGTCGCCGCTCGAGATATCCTCGCAGCTCTGGCCAGGGTAGCCCGAGTAGCCCAAACAACCCGAATGGGCGCCCGGGTCGCCAAAAAAGCCCGAAAAGCCAGAAAAGCCAGAAAAAGTCCCGGTTGACCCGAAAAGCCCGAAAAGCCAAAACATCCTCGCAACTCGAAAGTCGCCGCTCGAGACATCCTCGCAGCTCTGGCCAAGGTAGCCCGAATAGCCCAAATACCCCGAATGGGCGCCCGGGTCACCAGAAAAGCCAGAAAAGCCCGGAAACGCCAGAAAAACCAGAAAAGCCAGAAAAGCCCGAAACGCCCGAAAAGTCAGAAAAGTCCGAGAAGCCCGAATCGGTTGAATAGCTCGAGAGCGTTTGCCGCTCGAAACATGCTCGCAACTCGAGCGCCGCCGCTCGAGACATCCGCTCGGGTGCTGGATCGGATCGGGCAGGCGTACCCTAACGGGCGAGTCGGATCGGGCGTGCGGAACAATAAAGTATGACGCATGCTCGAAAAAGAACACCCGCGCCCAATCCTGACGGGCAGGTCGGATCGGATGCGGACCTTAACGGGCGAGCGTGCAGGGCAGGCGGGACACTAAAGTATGACGCGAGCTCGAATTAAACACGCACGCGTAACCTTGACGGGCGGATCGGGTCGGGCGGGGACTAATGGGCGGCGGGTCGGGTCGGGCGTGCGGAACATTAAAGTATGACGCATGCTAAAAAAAAACGCGCATACGTCACCCTGACGGGCGAGTCGGATCGGATGCGACCTTCACGGCGGGCAGATCATCAAAGTATGACGCGTGCTCGAAGTAATAAGCACGCGCAACGCTAATAGGCGAATCGGTTCGGACGAGCGGAGACTAACGGGCGGGTCGGGCGGGCGGGACATTAAAGTATAACGCATGTTCAAACAACACGCACGCGTAACCTTGACGGGCGCATCAGACGGGATGCGAACCTTAACGGGCGAGCGGGTCGGGCGGTCGGAACATTAAAGTATGACGCGTGTTCGAAATAACACGCACGCGTAACTTTAACGGGCGGATCGGAACGGGCGGGCGGACCCTAACAGGCGTGTCGGGTCGGGCGGGCGGGACGTTAAAATATGGCGCATGTTTAGAAAACACGCACACGTAACCGAAACGGGCGAGTCGGATCGGATGTGGACCTTAACGGGCAAGCCGGGCGGTCGGAACATTAAAGTATTATGCGTGTTCTAAGTAACACGCACGCGTAACCTTAACGGGCGGAGCGGGTCGGGCGGGCGGACCTAATCGGGTGGGTCGGGTCGGGCGGGCGGAAATTTCAACTGTGACGCAATGCATGCTCCACAAAACACGCACGCGTAACCCTCACGGGCTGGTCGGGCCGGGGGTCGGGCGAGCGGACCCTCGCGGGCGGGTCGGGCAGGGCGGGCGGATCATTAAAGTATGACGCGTGCTCGAAATAAAACGCACGCGAAACGCTAACGGGCGAATCGGTTCGGGCGAGCAATCGGGAAGGCCGGGTCGGGCGGGCGGGACATTAAAGTATGACGCATATTCAAAAAGACGCACGCGTAACACTAACGGGCGGGTCGGGTCGGGCGAGCCGACGCGGGCGGGACAGAAAAGTATGATGCGTGCTCGAGAAACACGAACGTATAATCCTGACGGGCGGGCAGGATCGGATGCAGACCCTAATGGACGGGCGAGCCGGGCGGGCCGGACATTCAAGTATGACGCGTGCTCGAAGTAACACGCACGCGTAATTGTAATGGGCTAGTCGGGTCGGACGGGTGGATCCTAACGGGCGACTCTGGTCGAGCGGGCGGGACATAAGCAAGACGAATGCTCGAAGTAACACACGCGTGTAACTCTAACGGGCGATCGGGTCGGGCGGGCGAACCCTGACGAACGGTCGGGTTGGGCGGAGCACTCGCCGGAATGCTGATCCCGATCAGAACGGCAAGGGGGAGGAAAGAAGCGTCGGAACAACATTGTGATGACCTTTCCAAGCAGGGGCGCCCGCTTCCAATCCAGAATTGTCCACTCGTTTTAGGCCCACAGAGGCCTAGGCACTCGCGCAACACCCCGTTTTGGAAGGGATCAGCACTCGCCGAGGTACTGATCCCTACCAAAATTGCAAGCGGGAGAGGGGAAGCGTCGGGACATAAATGTGATGACCTTTCCTAGCAAGGGCTCCCGCTTCCAATCAAAACTTGTCCAGTCGTGGGGGAGCGGATGGGAGGGGCACGCGTAACGCTAACGGGCGAATCGGTTCGGGCGAGCAAACCCTATCGGGAAGGTCGGCTCGGGTGGGCGGGACATTAAAGTATGGCGCATGTTTAAAAAGACGCACGCGTAGCACTAACGGGCGGGTCGGGTCGGGCGAGCCGACGCGGGCGGGACAAAAAAGTATGATGCGTGCTCGAGAAACACGAACGTATAATCCTGACGGGCGGGCTGGATCGGATGCAGACCCTAACGGACGGGCGAGCCGGGCGGGCCAGACATTCAAGTATGACGCGTTCTCGAAGTAACACGCACGCGTAATTGTAATGGGCTAGTCGGGTCGGACAGGTGGATCCTAACGGGCGACTCTGGTCGAGCGGGCGGGACATAAGCAAGACGAATGCTCGAAATACCACACGCGTGTAACTCTAACGGGCGATCGGGTCGGGCGGGCGAACCCTGACGAACGGTCGGGTTGGGCGGAGCACTCGCCGGAGTGCTGATCCCTATCAGAACGGCAAGGGGGAGGAGACAAGCGTCGGAACAACAATGTGATGACCTTTCCAAGCAGGGGCGCCCGCTTCCAATCCAGAATTGTCCACTCGTTGTAGGTCCACAGAGGCCTATGCACTCACGCAACACCCCGTTTTGGTAGGGATCAGCACTCGCCAAAGTGATAATCCCTACCAACATTACAAGCGGGAGAAAAGAAGCGTCGGGACATAAATGTGATGACCTTTAACGCTAACGGGCGAATCGGATCGGGCGAGCAAACCCTATCGGGAAGGTCGGCTCGGGCGGGCGGGACATTAAAGTATGACGCATATTCAAAAAGACGCACGCGTAACACTAACGGGCGGGCTGGGTCGGGCGAGCCGACGCGGGCGGGACATTAAAGTATGATGCGTGCTCGAGAAACACGAACGTATAATCCTGACGGGCGGGTTGGATCGGATGCAGACCCTAACGGGCGGGCGAGCCGGGCGGACTAGACATTCAAGTATAACGCGTGCTCGAAGCAACACGCACGCGTAATTGTAATGGGCTAGTCGGGTCGGACGGGTGGATCCTAACGGGCGACTCTGGTCGAGCGGGCTGGACATAAGCAAAACGAGTGCTCGGAATAACACACACGTGTAACTCTAACGGGCGATCGGGTCGGGCGGCCGAACCCTGACGAAACGTCGGGTCGGGCGGAGCACTCGCCGGAGTGCTGATCCCTATCAGAACGGCAAGGGGGAGGAGAGAAGCGTCGGAACAACAATGTGATGACCTTTCCAAGCAGGGGCGCCCGCTTCCAATCCAGAATTGTCCACTCGTTGTAGGCCCACAGAGGCCTAGGCACTCGCGCAACACCCCGTTTTGGTAGGGATCAGAACTCGCCGAAGTGCTGATCCCTACCAAAATTGCAGGTGGGAGAAGGGAAGCCTTGTGACATACATGTGATGACCTTTTTCCTAGCAGGGGCTCCCGCTTCCAATCAAAATTTGTCCAATCGTGGGGGAGCGGATGGGAGGGGCGCGGGGTTGAATAGGCTGCACTTTCGGGGGCCGCCAGCGGACGACGACGACGACGACGACGAAGGCTCGAGTAGCCCGAATCACCCGACTGAGCGCCCGTTTGACCCGAAAGACCCGACAAGCCAAACAGGCAAGAAAAACCCGCCGCTGGAGACATCCTTGCAACACGTGCGCCGTCGCTAGAAAGATCCTTGCAACTCGGGCTTTTCAGGCTTTTCGTTTTTTTTCGGGCGAATCCAGCTGAAACCGAAAAGCCAGAGAAGCCCGAAAAGCCAGACAACCATGAAAAGCCAGCAAAACACAGAAAAGCCCGAAAAGCCTGAAAAACAAAAAAAAAAATCCACCGCTCGAAACACCGTCGCAACCCTAGCCAACGTAGCCCGAAAAGCCAGAAAATCAAGGACAAATGCAAAAACCCACCGCTCAAAACATCCTCGCAACTCTAGCCAGCGTAGCCCGAAAAGCCAGCAAAAGCAAAAAAACAGAAACACCCAAAAAACCCACCGCTCGAAACATCCTCGGATCTCTGGCCAGCGTAGCCCAAAAACAACAAAAACGGAGAGCCCGAAAAGCCCACCGCTCGAGACATCCTCGCACACCTGGCCGGCGTAGCCCGAAAAGCATGAAAAAAAACAGAAAAGCCCGAAAAACGAGAAAAGCCCACCATTCGAAACATCCTCGCAACTCTGGCCAGCGTAACCCGAAAAGCCAGAACAAAAACACCGCTCGAGACATCCTCGCAACTCTGGCGACGCACCTCGAGACATCCTCGCAACTCTGGCCGGCGTAGCCCGAAAAAACAGAAAAGCTCCCAAAGCCCACCGCTCGAGACATCCTCGCAACTCTGGCGCCGCCGCTCGAGACATCCTCGCAACTCTCGCCGGTGTAACCCGAAAAGCCCGGAAAGGCCCGAAAAGTTCAAAAAGGCCGCCGCCCGAGACATCCTCGCAACTCTGGCGCCGCCGCTCGAAACATCCTCGCAACTCAAGCCTTTCGAGCTTTTCTGTTTTTTTCTTGTTTTTCCGGTCAACCCACTTTTCGGACACCCCTGGCAGACGCAATGCAAAAGACGGAGGCCACCCTTCCCGAAACATATAGGGCCCCATGGGACCCCCCACTCAACAAATCCTCTCCGGTCCTGTAAGCAACGTCCATCGCGCGACTTTTCGGGCCCAAGCGCTTCCCGTCATCCACCACCTCAGGGCCCAGGCCCGACCCGCAACCACTCCTCCCCTGAACCCGTCGACTTGATAAATAGATTCCCTCTGGGCCAGTGAACGGCGCCCGTCGCGCGACTCTTCGAATCTAAGCGCGCTCCCAATCACCCACCACGTCCCGATGGAGGCCCGACCCCGCCACCACCCCCTCCCTGGACCCCCATCGACAAATATTTCCCCTCTGAGCCGGTAAACTCTGCGAGTCTAACCGCGTTTTCTTTTTTTTTGAAGGCGCAACCCCAACGCACAGGTCTCGCGAGCATCCACAGGGCCACCCGCAAGGTCGGCCCGCGCGCGTGCGCGCCCACGGACGCAACATGCGAGTTCCCCCCCCCCCCCCCTGGTGGAAAAGCCCGCACATCAGCACGCGACCCTCTGGCCACGGGCTGGCGGCGAGCAGTGATTTTCAAGCGGCGCAACGCATTGTGATCATGTGCAGGAGAAGCATGGCACAGCATAGCGGGAGCCGCCCTTACCAGCAATGCGAAGTCGGCAACGCTCCAGGCCATGCAAGGCCAGGGCTGAGCCAAACTCACAGTCACCAGCGCAGCGGGCCAAAAAGGAAAGAGGGCGGACGAGGAGGCACAAGCGTTGGAAACAAACACACACACACACGCACACACACAACTAACCAGGCGCCTGCGGCAAGCTTTACTGATGAAATGAGCACCGGTGCATGCAACCTGGTGGGCTCACCTGCAGAATACCCAACATCCGAATATACTACTTCCCCTCCTTGAGCACGCGGCGCGGAGCGAGGAGCATGGTCGTCGTCGATCATGCGTCCCGCAAGCCCCTGCCACTTCGACGCCCCACGGGGTTGTGGGATGGATTCGATCAGCACGCGGTGGCGGTCAGTCGCTCTGATTCTGCAGCGCGACGCCTGGAACGGGTTCTTCTGAAGGGCCTTCTCGCTGGCAGCGGACGCCGCCTGGGGTGCCGCAGGGACCTGCAGCAAGATGCTCTCGACCATGTCCCCCTCCTCGGCGGCGACAGCGAGCGGACAGACGGGTTTCCTCCTCCACACAAGCCACGGGGGAATACTGCATACGTATGCCAGCCAGCTGTCCCAGGTGCCATCGTTGTGTAACTGTGATACCGCCCCATGAAACAATCCGCGTGGACTCCATCCGTGGGGAAGGCGTGATGATGTAGTCGGGGCGATTCCAGATCCGAGCTTCGGGCGAGTAAGCTGTGTCGCCGTCTGAAGTAACCACATAGATGGAGTGTGCCGCAACGGTTTGGCCTTCGTGAAGGTCGACCTCAAACCACACCCGCCCTCTGGCGAGTCTGGCTCGGCAGGCGCGGTGATAGCTCCTTGTGCTGTGCACTGGCTCGCTCCCATCCTCGGCGTCGGTCGAAGGCATGGAGCTCCACGGTAATCGTGCCGTCACCGAACGCTGGGCCCTCCAGCGTGGGTAACTTCGGCTAGCCAGTCCCGCCATCAACTGCATGCATGCTGTGCGGGGGTTTGCGACCCCGCCGACACACGAGAAACGCAAAGAATCGCTCGACCCAAGGCCTTCTAAGCGCACTTCCCGTCATCCGCCAACGCTGCATCATGTGCATTCCCGAACGTTATGTAATTTTCTTTAGAAGGTTGCATATTCAGCCGGAACGTACAACTCGCTTCTCGTTCCTCGAAGATACTTCCCGGCAACCGCCACGATTGTATCTGACTGAGTCCCGAACGGAATTGATGCTCACCTTCTTACATCCGTTGCAGGCTCAGCCAGGACATCCAGCTCGCTACTCGGTCCTCGAGGCCAATTCTCACCACTAGGCATGATACCTCCTCTATATATATATATGTGTATAATCCTTACCCAGACATGCGGCGCCCAATGTCTCCGTCTGTCTCCGCTTTTGGCTCCTGAGGGCTGGCGTCGGGCCTCGCAGCCGTCAACAAACCTGCTCGGGACAGAAGCCAACGCGCTGATGTTGTAACGATGAATGTGCAGTGCACGCGCCGTGCTCAATACTGTTTTAGACCATCGACAGACCCACAAATCAGCCAACCTCAAATGGCATCCAGGAAGTGCGTCAGATAGCTCGCGGGTGAACGCATCCGTTCTGAACGCCACCATTGTGGCGCTAGGGGAACACTGGGTCGAGAGGTCCAGGGGAGCACGCTTCGACGAGATCGAAGCGCCAGATGCCTGGGCAGGTCCCTCGGAGCCCCCTTTCTCAAGTGCTGCAAGTGTTTCGGCGGTGGACAAACCTCCCTTTAGCAAACCACCCTTCAGTGAAAAACGACCTAGGACCAAAACCACGGACATGGACCGCAAAAATGACGGCCGCGACGCCCTCTCGCGAACCGACGAAAACGGCCAATTCGCTAATCGACGTGTCAGGGCAGGAGGTCTATCAACCTCCGAGTGTTCGTTATAAGGGGACTGGGCCCACGAACTCTGGGCGGTACTGTGGGCTTCTGGGCGCTTCTGGGAATCGCCGCGCCCCGTGGCCTTCAGAACGTGGCTGGGAGCCCGTACTTCCCACGTGCACCGAGGTACCCCCAATGGGGCCGTCCTTGGGGGCCTCGATGTTTGTTCGACGGGGGGGCTTGAGTCGGCAGCGGCGCATTCCTGTCGCAATGCAGCAACGCGAGCCCGTCAGGCAATGCAACATGCCGCTTTGGGTACGCTGCTTCAGCTGGACGCGCGCGGAACAAAGCAAACACAAATCTCTAACCGTGCGAGAGGTCCTTCAGACCTGAAAAATCGAGCTAAGCCGCGGCCACTGATGCACCCTCGCCACGCGCCTCTTTCGCAAGACGAGGGAGACAACGAGCTTTCCTACGAAGTGACGGTGCCTGATCAAGGGAACGAACTTGCTGCCCCTCCGGCTGCACCGCACTCTCTTGCAATCGCCGCTGGACCCTGCTGCTCTCCCTGGTGCGCTCGATAGCTGCCGTCCCACTGTCACCGACCGGCCATCCAGCTTTCCTCGATTCTGGAACGGGGCCCGTGCTGCTGGAGGTAATGGTGCCTGATCAACGAGAGGAACTTGCTTCGCGTCCGGCTGCACCGCGTGCACTCCTCTGCCCTGCAGAGGGTGAGCTTCTCGCCGCCGCGCGCGATGATGGCGTCCCAGATGCTGATGTAGGCCGTGGGCACACTCTTCAAGTCATACCTGGAAGAAGAAACATCTGGATAAACAGCACCCCAGCAAAGCACCCTGATAGCAGCAAAGGTGAGGATGCCATGTGCAAAAATAGGAGAGCACGGCCATGCGCACCTTAGCGTATTCTTTACCAACGATTGGGGCGGCCCTGGCTAAAAATGAAGCCAGCATTGAGGCGAGAGCACGATTCCTGGACAACTGGTGAGGGAGACCTGGTTGGGCGAAGCGGCCGCCGGACCAGGCGGTCTGGGGTTCCCCGCCCTGCGTGGGACTTACCAGTGGTAGACCCAAAGACCCGAAGATCCTATGACCCCAAGACCCTGACACTTTGAACTCGCAAGCGAAACGCTGTAAGGGCAGAATCTGGATGAACATATGACCTTTCGGAGGTCCGCGCGGATTGCTTGGATCGGCGCTGGAGGCGCGGCCAGGGGGACCCAGCGCCGATCCAAGAGATCCACGCGGACTTCCAGCTGTCTATGTGCCGATCATCGTTCCCCGAATGCCCTGCAGTCCGCGAAGTCATAACATTAATCGTCATCACGACCACCACCACCACCATCATCATCAGCATCAGCATCATCAGCATCATCATCATCATCAGCAGCATCATCATCAGCATCAACATCTTCATCATAGCCTCATATTCTCAATATAATCACCATCCTCATCATCATCCTCATCATCAACATGAACATGAACATGCACATCATCAGCATAATCCTCCTCATCCTCATCCTCATCCTCATCCTCATCATCATCATCAGCATCATCATCCTCATCCTCACCGTCCCCCGAATGCCCCGCATTTTGCGCCATCATCTCGATCTTGGTGAATCCCGCTTCCATCAGCATGTCGCGCGCTGCCGGGAACGTCGGCTGGAGCCCAATCTTCGCGGCCGTGGTGGTGGCCCACAGCGCGGGCAGGACGCTCGCGTTGAAGGGCATGTCGGAGACCAACACGAGGCGCTTGCCCGACTCGTTCTGCTGGGCTTTGATGTGAGACAACAACTCCTGCGGGATCAGTCGGCACCGAGTCGGGAAACCCGTCGACCCTGTCAGTGTGTGTGAAGCTTTCTCGCTTGAGTCGTCGTCGCCGTCGCCGTCGCCGCTCACCCCGTTTTTCCCTGAAATCGAACAAGGTCGCAATCGAATCGAAAGGACGCCCCTTCCCTTTGATCCCTCCCCCGCGGGCGGGGGGGGAGGCATGGGGGCCCCGGGGGCTGTGACCCGTCCACCTTCTGGGAGAGCACCGAGTCGGGAGATCGGATGGAATCGGAATGTGCGTCGGATCGGTCTGCGTCGTCACGGAGTCGAAACCAAACCGAATCGCCCGCGCCAGGACGCACATCAACGCTATGCAGGCAACGGACCGCGTCACATCGTCAGAATATTGGTACCGAATCGGGTCGAGCCGGCGGGACCCGACATCGAACCTCGGCGGCGCGACCAGGGGGGAAGGCAGAGAGGGCGGGCGTTCTCAGATGCCTCAGAAGGCCTCCGGCCTTCTGAGAAGCTCGCCAGAAATCTTCCGAGATGATTTGATCAACCCGCGGCCGCAAACGTCCCGACCCCTTCCCTGGAAGTTGTTCTTCGTCTGTTCTTTGTGGTCCCTGATCCGTCGTTAATGGTCCCCGGGGCCGACAACGGGCCCAGGAAGCCGAAAGCAAGGAAATTAGGCCGGATTGAAAAAACAGATCCTCGGAGATCTGGGCTCCTGAGCCCTCCTCTGGAGCCTCTGGAGCCTCGGACAAGTCTATCCCTCAGCGAAAGATAGCCTGCAATAAACAAATTCAATGCACTGGGAATGGCACTCCAACCTCCCTCTTGCTGGTTGGGTCCACTCCTCTGCGGAGCATCTTCAATGCTCTCGCGTCTGCGTCCGAGGGATGGGAGCAGCGCGCGGCCAAGTCTTTGACTTGCCGCCGCGCGTGTCTCCCGCACACGGAACAATGAAAGAGATCTGATTCACCCAGGCGCCACATCCGATGAGACTCCTGCACTTTCGCTAAGACTCTGGGGATTCCTGGGCATACATTCTGAACTACCACACTACGTTTCTTTGCCGTCTTACCGCAAACACGACAGCCCCACACACCGTTTGTAATGTGCAGGAGATGTTCTTTGTCATCGGGGTCGATCCTAAGCTGTAGGACGGGCTCAGCTGGACCTACTACAAGCCTAGACGGTTTCGCTGTCGGCTTCTTAAACGGCGTTACATCGGGAAAACTCAACTCGCTGAGCCTCTTGAGGGTTCCCCCGAGGAGCCTCGCGAATTGCCTACCTATGTTTTCGGCTGCTGCTACACGCTGCTCTACATGGGCTGCTGAGGGGTGACCCATGGCTCCAAGCTTAGCGTATTTATCTGCTGCTCTGTTCCCGTAAAACCAGTCGTCAGGAGACCCGTTGTTGCGATACCACGATTGGGACCTGTGAGATGGCATCCACAGGACCTCGACGTTTTCTGAGCCAATGTCATCAAGCTTCCAGAAAATTTGCCTCCAGATCTCCCAAAAGGCCTGCTTCGGATTGCACATAAAATTCGGCCCCTTCTCGAGGCCTATGATGATATTCTCATGGTCGGTAACGACGGTGCCCTTTGCCCCGCCGAGCAAGTGGAGCGCCTGCAGCAGGGCGTAGTGCTCGGCGAGACCTGAGGACTGAACAATACCTGGAACAGGACCGTAAGCTGCTGCCAGCACATCCTCGGTCCCAGGTCGAATCGAAACTGCCGCCCACCCCGCTCTTGTCAGCCAGTCGAAATCTGGGTTTAAACCTGATCCGTCCGTGAAGATGAGAGTGGTGAACCTGCCCCTGGGAGGATAACATCTCATTTGGCATTCTGTGGCCTGGAGCGGCGGTGGCATATCATCTCGCTGACTGTCCACAACTCCGAAGGTGGTGAGGACTGCATCTGGGTTCTCGCGGCCAAGGCGGATCAGCTCCTGAAGCCCTTGCTCGCGCCTCCAGCTGGCGAGCCCGTCACACTCGTAAAGCCGATGAGAGATCGTGCCACGGCCGCCGCGGCACCAGCTACAATCCCTGTCTATCGTGAAACGTTCCTGGAAGAGTTTCTCCTGAGTCCAGAGGCCCCCAGACATGTGCATGCTGACCAGGTCCGCCTGAATAAACTCCCCTTGCCCACGAAGTTGTCTGAGTTCGGCTTTTACAGGATCCAGGAAAGCGAAACCTTGCCATCCATGGTGTGCTGCTGCTGCTGCTAACTCCTGCTGTCTCCTCACTCCTCTATGTATGACCTTCTTCAAATCTGGCATACAGACTTCTCTGAGATCTACTGGGAGCCCCCGAGGATCTTGCCACTGCGAAAAAGAACTGGCCTTCCAGCCCAGTCTGCGAAGCGTCTGCACAACCGCTCCGGCTGGGCCTATGACGGCCGCCCAACCCTTTGTCTCTCTCTCTTTCTCTCTCTCTCTCTCTCTCTCTCTCTCTCTCTCTCTCTCTCTCTCTCCAGAGCCGCCGTGAAGATACGAGACATGAGATTCTCTGGGATCCACTGCTGATGCAAAGCCTGCCACCATGTGACCAAGGGTAGTGTGTTGACAATATATGATGGATCTAGATCCGCTGGATCTGCCAGAAGGAATTGCACCGCTCGGGATCGGCCTTTCGCCTTCCCGAACACCGCGAAACCAGAGACTGCCCTGAGATCTTTCAAATCCTTATCCGTCATCCCCATCACCCGCGCCCCGTAAGTAGCTGCTGAGATCCCTCCCGTCCTGTAAACCTTCGCTAAACCTTTGCTATGATGTCGTAAAGCTCTAAACCGATGCGCTCGTCGTCGTAGCTTGCTGACCCTGCCCTGAATGATCTTCTTGCCTTTGCGAAGCTGCAGACTGAAATCATGGCCAAGATTCTTGACACTGGCACAAACTGCAAACCGAAAAGCACGTAAATCACGGCCTAACTTTTCTGCCACGGCAGGGCAGGAGGACATCACCTAGCACTTCTTCTTAGAAACGACTAACTCGAGCTTCTCTAGCTGCCTGCAAAGATCTGGAATCGCCTTCGCTAGCAGAGCTCTTACTCGCTGGGCTGATCCAATCGCTGCCAAGGTGATGTCGTCTACCATGACATACAAGGTGAGGGACGGCCAGCGCACCTGCATGTACTCTAGCGCGCCTTGCACTACTACCCTGAGCATGGTTGTGGCAAACGAGCAACCTGCGATAATTGACCGTGTCAGTATGATGATGGCGGATACCACCTCCCGAACCTTGAGCCTCCTGGGGCCTCCATATACCCTGATGAGCAGACGGGCCCTTCTCAAGTTGAAACCGTGCTTCTTACACGCTTGCCACAAAACATCGTGAGGGATCTTCTCATAACACTTCTCTAGATCGACCAAGCCTGAAGCCGAGCACGCGCCGGCCGACGTAGCAGCTTCTGAAACAGCCGCCTGTTGCCACACAGCGCGCTCGCAGCTCTTGCCCTTGGCCCCATAAACACAAGCAAGGTCGTGCTCCCTCTCCCATTGCTGTGCTTCACCCCTCCGTATCCTCCCCAATATACGAATGCATGTTGCGAGCACTCCTATTGGCCTGAAACCGCCATCTGGCTTCTTGAGGAACGCGATCAGGGCGAGGCCGCACTGATCTGGAATCAAAAACTCTGATTCTATCGCCGACAAGAAAAGGCCAAAAACCCTCAAGGCATCGTCGCTGAGGAACTGCAGGACCTTGGGGCTCCACCCGTCGATGCCTATGGCCGTGCCTTTCTTGAACTTCTTCAAGACTGCCCTGATTTGTTCTGCTGTTGGGGCTGATGGAGGGGCCTCAAGAGGAAACTGAAGGTCTCGACTGCCAAGCCTCTGGGTTTCTCCAGCATGCCAGATCTCCTTCCACTCCGAGACGAGCTGCTTGACCGTGTCGACGGGCCCAGCTGGGCCCTCGGATGGCCCCTTGGGGTCGGGGGCCCAACCTTGAGGCTCCTTGGTCCACTTGTAGAGCCCTCCTCCTCCTGAGTCCAGGGATTGGTTAACCCAAGTCCTCCACTCCTTCGTCCTGCTCTTCTTAAACTCAGCCTCCTCCAAGTCCGCGATGGCCCGAACGGCCTCCAGGGCGGACTGGACGTCCTCGATGACGCTGTGCCGACCTAGCGTGAGCCTGTCGTGAAACTCGCGCCCGCCTGCATGGTCCTTCAAATTGGGGTGCCTCCAGAGGATCCTATCCAGAAGTTCCCGAACTCCTCGGTCGTCCCAATAGTGGTTCTTGCCCAGAAGAAACCCCAGTTCTTCCAACCAAACCTGATACTTCCGAATCGCCCTGGCAACTTTCGAACACTTTGGAAACGGCCCCTTGATGTGCTCCAGAATCGGTTTCTCGACGTTCTTATAACCAGTACCCCTCCCAAGATACTTAGCCCGTTCGTTCTCTGGAATACACATCACGTCGCAAAGCTCGGCCTCCATGCGGGTGCACAAGAGGCCGTGCAAGTCTGTGAAACTCTTCGCCGACATCTCGCCAGCGAACCCCTCGAATAAACTCGAAAGAACCTGCCAATCCTGCGGCGGTGGGACTGGTCCTATGGGCCTCTCGACTGGGAAAGACATCGGCATCTTCAAACATTGCTTCGTCTGAGTGTGAGCGTTAACGCCCAACTCCAGACGCACTGGGCAATGAGTCTCATTGGCTGAACTTACCACTCTCTGGCACGACTTGACCACTCCAATCAACTCATGTGAAACGATAAAGAAATCTAATTCCCTCCATTCTTTCCCAACCCGACAAGTCGGTTTGTTGCAGCCCACGACGATACCCCTCATCCTGGAAACCGACTTGGCCTGCTGGACCTCCGAAGGTAAACTATTGAAATCCCCCGAGACGATGAAGGGCCTCCTGGAAGCATACAAGAACTCTCCCAACTGGTTCATTTGTTGCTGCCCACGAGCTCCTAATATGCCTTCTCCGTCTGGAAGATAGACTGTAGCTAAGTAGAAGCCTCCCTTCACGCAGCCGTTCACCCACACGATCGAACAACGCGAATGGAGAAGATGAGACCGATGTCCCTGGACTTCACCGACGCCGACACAACTGCGCACACTTATGCCGACTCCTGAGGACACTCCCCCTTGATCAGTTTGCACTCCTGGTGACAACCTAAGTTTCCACCCTTCGCTCGTCATCGACTGTTCCTTCTGCGAGACGCTATCCTTCAAAACTCTGCATTCCTGGAGGCAGATGGTAGAATCGCCGCGCATCAGGGGGTCGGTGAGAAGTGAAGCCGTGCCAGACCATCCTGAAGTGTTGGCTGTGACTATCCGCCACACCGTTCTTGAACTGGTACTGGTATCCCGACGCGCGGCGGCGCGTGGGCTAAAGATCTGACTGGTCCTCTGGAGCCTGGCCGCCCTTGCCTGCCCCTGGGCCCTTGCCCTCGATGAGCGGGTGGCTGCCGACCAGCTTGCGGGCGTGCTCGCGCAGCTCCGCCGACGACTTGGCCGTGCCCTTGCCGAACGTCGGTGGCGCTGGGGGCGCCTCGGCGCGCGGCGGCGGCTCGGCGGCGGCGTCGGCGCCTCCAGCTGCTGCTGGCGCCGCGGCCTGGCCGTTGCCTGCCTCCGTCGCCGCTGCAGCGCCTCCGCCCTGGTCACCCGCGGGCTCCTGGCGGCGGCGCTTCGCCTGCAGGCGAGCCTTGAGCTCCTCATGCTCCTTCTTGCACTGCTCTGCCTTCTGCTTGATTTCCCCGAACATCGACTGTGCCAGGGTCTGGAACTGCTCCTTGAGTAACTGCTCTCGCTTCTTCGCCTCCTCGCGGTCTTTGTCGGCCACGTCCACGTAGTCCGACAGCCCGAAGAGGTCCTCTCCGCATGTGAGGTCCCATTGGGCCGTGCCGCTGAGGAGGTCCTCCAGCCGCACCATGGGCGCCTTCGCCTCTGCCACAGGAGTGACTTCAGCGTGGAGCTCACGGATGGCCTCCTTGTAGATCGCCTCCTGCTGCTCGATTTGGCCCAGCAGGGACGCGACCGTGCCCTCCTGCTTGGTGGCCTGCTGCTGCAAGCCTTCCAAGACGCCCGACTCCTTGGCCAGGTCGTTCTCGAGCTGCTTGATTGTCTTGTGAGCCTGGTCCGCCCGCACTTGTGGCGACACCAGCTGCTTGTCACGGATGGCCAGCACCTGCTGGTAGTACTCGACCATGCCACTGTTGTTGCTCTTCTCCCCGAGGGACACGAGCTGCTTGATCTCTGCCACTGACAGCTCTGGGACGGGGTCAACTGCACCTTGAAGCCCGACTGGACGAGGTGCGCTGCCATGGCCACCGCCAGCACCAGGACTAAAGAGGCCTGGAGGAGGCTCCACGTCCTTGCCCTTGCTTTGGTCTTCTTGGGCTTGCCCGTCTTCCAGTGGCGACTGCAATGCTTACACCATGCTTCTGACATTGCCGTTTTTCCGCACCCGCAATGTAAGCATCTCCAGATCGACGCGTCATGCCAGCCTCCTGCCATCTCGCGTCTTCCAGAGAAGGTGTGAAATTCACTGAGCCTGAACGGAACGTAGTCAGTGTAGGACTCTCACCCTGGGCAGGGCCTCTGATCGAGAGTCGTGCGGGTCCCTCGACCACCTTGAGCCCCGACCCCAGGGAAGGCGAAGGCCCCAGGCAACGGCTTGAGCCAATGGCTACGGACCTGAGCCCTCCTCCTCCTCCTCCTCCTCCTCCTCCTCCTCCTCCTCCTCCTCCTCCTCCCGAGCCGCAGATGGCTTCTCGGACGGCCAGAGAGCCCGTGAGAAGCCCCGCCCCCTCCCCAGAGGGCCCGCCCCCGCTCGCCCCCCGCCGCGCAGCGACGCCGAGTCGCCGGGCCGCCCGGAGCGAGACCGGCCCCGTCCCCGCGAGGCAGCGCTGAGCTCTAACAAACACACGCACACACACACACCTCTTTTGACGTTTTTATGTCGAGTGCCAACAAACACACACACACCACACACACACGCACTCTCATTTTTGATTTTTTACTCCTAGATCCAGGATCTACAGTGTGGCGGTCTTGCGCAACACGGGCATAGCCGCCGCAAGTGGACGGACGTCCCCAAAAAGTTCCTCGACCCAAGCAGACAAGTTCCTCGACAACCTGTTGATGCAACGGCTCTCAATTCAAGCTGATACTCTTGCAGGGAGTGAGCTGATGTTAAAATCCTGTCGCAACTCCCCTTGTGACTAAAAAGGCTGCGGTGAGCGGCACAGAGAAGAGAGCGCCAGTCCACTTAGGTCGGGCATGTCCCCCTACAGGCGGATTTTGGAAGAAAACTTGGAAATGGTTAAAGAACCTCACAATGCTATCCCCTGACTATTTTTCACTCTGTTTGACTTGTCCTTCTGTAGAGGGACACGCCCGATTTAACAATACACACACGCACACGCGCGCGAACGCGCACGCCCGTGGGCGGACGTCCCGGGGCCCCTGCGGGCGGTGCAAGGGCCACATGCCGGCCCCAGGAGGTCCAAATGCATCCTGTCTCCACCGCCCGCCGAGGAGGAGGAGGAGGAGGAGGAGGAGGAGGAGGAGGAGGAGGAGGAAGCCCGGCCTCGGAGTCCTGCCTGGGGCAGCCAACTTTAGGCTCCGCGCTCCGCGCTCTCCGCGGAGCGCGCACGACTTCGCGCTCTCGCGCCGCCCCCCCGCCCGCCCCTCGCTCCCGCTCTTAGGGAGCCCAAAAAGGACGTACGCACCCAGCTATGTACATGAACACGGCCCTCGATCCGCGAGACCGGCCGCGTGATACAAACATTCGCGCAATGCGTACTCTCGAAACCAGCGTGGATTCATGTACGTGTACGTCCTTCTTTCGCTCCGGAGCTCTGACATCGCCCAGACCGCGAAGCGCGAAGCGACAATAGCTTCACACCCTCGTGGTGGCCCGAGTCCTGGGGAAACCACAAGGTGCCAATACCGCTGCTCCCCAGACCTCTCCCGGAACGCGTCCTGGCCAGAATTTCGAAGCGAATAAAACGGTCGCGAGGAGACGGGGCGAGGGTTCCGGAGTCCTGCGCGCAGAACGTGTAGTTGACGTCGATCGCCTCCGACCGCCAGTGGTACACGACGTAGTTCCCCTCGCGGCCGTCGGCAGAGGGGCGCAGCCCGTTCGCGGCGAGGATGCGCGCGGCCTCCGCCTCCCGGGCCGCGGAAAAGTTGAACTGCGGCCAGTCGTCCGCGACGCCCGGTGCGGTTCCTCTCTGTTTGCGGCCCGTGGAGCTGAGGTCGTTACCTAGGGCGACGAGATCTCTGCGCACGAGATGAAGCCAGGACGAGGACAGATGCGGGGCGAGGCTAGATCGAGAATCTCTGAGGTCCAGCGGCTCTGGAGGCTGTTTCCGGCGTAGCAGACTTCTCAGAGCGTTCCGGAACGCTGTGAGAGCGTTCTGGAAGGCTCTGGAACAGATGTATCCTTTTCTTAGGCAAGCTACTGGGCCTTAGGGGTCCGAAGCGTCAGGCAGCCCGCGCGGACGCGGGCACGGGACAGACATGGGGGCCACGCAGCACAAGGGAGAAGGCAGCAAGAAGGGACAGATGAGGATGGGAAGAAGACGACTGCCAGCCGCAGGCAGAGGAAAGATGCACGGCACCTTCACGCATCTATCCTCCTCCTCGCCCCGTCCGAGCATGCTCGCTGCTCCTGGCCAGGCCGTCCTTGGGCCCAGGCGCCCTCCTGGCTTGGCCAGAAAGGCACACACCCGCTCCTGGGCCCAGGACGGGCCTGGCCTGGTGCAGGGGCAACGATAGGGAGGGGGACCGTCAGAGGGGAGATGCATCGACCTGGAATCGGCGATACATCGTCGATAGATCGGCGATAGGCCCCCGATAGTCGATCCGCATCTTCCTGGGCGGGTTGGGGCTATCGGGCCCCTACAAGCGATCCATGAGCGATTGGGGGTCGATGCGTCCCCCCCTATGCCTATCCCCCCCGATCGTCGCCCCCGACCACTGGAGCTGTGGATGGGTATAGATCTCGTCGCCCGGTTACCGCGGGACGAGTTCAGCTGGTCAGCGCGAAGGTGGACGTATCCTCACGAGCGGCAGACATGTCCAAATCTTTGGAGTCCCGAAACGGTGCGGTGACAGACCGTGCGAAAACCTCGACATCCCCCAAGACCTCACCGCACGGTACGGTCCGTCAACGCACGGTCTTGGGACCTCGGATGTCCCGATCGCCCGAGACGTCCTCGGAGAACGGCCCGAGTCCCAAAACCGTGCGGTGACCCCGAATCCCCACCGACGCACCACACGGTGTGGTCACCACCTCGTTGGGGGGACCCCGACAAACCCACGCCCTCGCGGCCTGGCTTCCGGGGCTGGCTCCCAGGAAGACGGAATCCCGTGGATGCGGTCCGCACGGGGCATCCGCGCAGAAGCTCCTCCGCTCCATGGCGACCACCTACCAGACCGCCCCAACCCAACCCCGAAGGCCCGAATTTGACCCGAACTTCGGGTTGAGGGGGGTGGGTGCGGGCTCCATGTGTTTTGTCACTGTTCCCCGACCCCCCCCACTGGAAATGGAGGGCGAATAGAGGCCTTCGGAGGAGGATGAGAAGGAGGAGGAAGGCGGGGCAGAGGAGGAGGAGGAGGAGGAGGAGGAGGAGGAGGAGGAGGAGGGGGAGGAGGAGAAGGGGGAGGAGGAGGGGGAGGAGGAGGGGGAGGAGGAGAAGGAGGAGGAGGAAGAGGAGGAGGAGGAGGAGGAGGAGGAGGGCTGGACTGGGGTGGCTTGGTGGCCGGTGACGCGGCCTGGGTGCCTGGCCCCACGCCACTCGACGTCCTGCCACCGCGTGGTCGACCCTCACAGAGCGGGCCGAGGACATGGCATGCGCCCAGTCCTCTTCTCGGCGGCGACGACAGGGGCGAACAGCCAAGGGGCGGGCGTTACACGTATTCGCACGGGAGCCCTTTCGAAGACATAGATCAGCGGCGCCCCTGGATACATGTATTGCTCCCCCTTGGGCTATGCGCCCCTATCGTCGCCTCCGATCCTTGATGGTGGTAGGGCCAAGCTTCTCTAGAAGAAGAAACAACGGCACAAACAAACTTTTGGCGCTCCACGCGGACTTCTTGGATCCGCGCCAGGCCCCCCTCCCTGGCGCGCGAAGCGCGCCAGGGGCGGCGCCAGAGACGCCGCCAAGGGGGCCCGGCGCGGGTCCAGGAAGTCCGCGCGGAGCGTCAAAAGGTCATGTTCATGGCGTTTTTGCCCTCGTCGAGCCTCATTCTTCGAGCAGCCTGTTATGAGTCCGCACATAGAGATCTTGACGTCTGGATTGGAGTCGAGGCCAGCGTCAAAGCGTGCCAAGCCCCAGCCTGACAAGTCGAACAAGTCCGTCAATTCTGTTGTATTGCTTTCCGTGCAACTGCGGACTTGACCCGTATTGAGCCGCACACAAGGGACGGTGACCGTGTGGTTCGTGGCGTCCGCCAAATACTGCAGCTCGCGAATTGTCCTGGGCCAACTGGACATGCCCTCTGCTAGGCTGCCCACGACGACGCGCTTCTGCGCCGCGACAACTAATTCCGCGCCGATGGGGCGCGGCGCGGCCGGTACCGCGCCCATGGGGCGCAGCATCAAAGGTGCGAGCACCGCGGCGCCAATTCGCCGGCCCAACGGGCCAGGGCGTGCTAAGATCTCCGGTACCTGGTTAACAATATTTCTAGTTCGCGCGCGCGGGGCGGCCCCTGGGGGTCCCCGGACGAAAAGTACCCCGGCAAGGTCCCGGCAAGTCCCCGGCAAGGTCGGGTCAGAGATGCCGGAGTTCTGTTTCGGAGTCCAAGAGGGCTCCAGATCGGTCCAAGAGGGCCCCGAGAAGCTGTCTAGACGGTCCAAGAGAGGCCCGAGACGGCCAAAGATCGCCCGAAGACGCCCCAGATGGCCCCAAGACAGCCCAAGAGGCCTCCAAGACGCTCCAAGGGCCTTCCAAGAGGCCTCCGAAGAGGGCCCCAAGTTGCCAAAATCGTTGATTTTCATTTGTTTTTTCTATGCTTTTTTGCGTTCTGGCCTTTTCGCTTCCGGACGCTCCAAGAGGGCCCAAGAGGCCTTCAAGACTGCTCCAAGACGGCCCACGAGGCTCCCAAGACGGCCCCGGAGCGGCCCAAGAGCGCCCCCCAGACGGCCCAAGTGCTGCCCAAGGCGGACCAAGAGGCCCCAAGACGGGCCCAAGAGGGGCTCAAGAAGGGAACCGAGAACTGAAAAATCGAGCCCTCCGCCCCAGAAGGCGCCCAGGACCCCGAAAGAGGCCCCAAGAGACTCTCCAAGACACCCCCAAGACGCCCCAATAAGCTCCCGTGAGGCCCCAAGAGGACCAACAACGTCAGGCCCCAGGCCCCAAGAGGACCAACAAATACCGCCAAGAGCCCGCCGAAAGCCCCCCAAGAGACCGTCACGAGAGCTCAGGAGGCCCCCTGGAGGCCTCCCGAGTTCTCCAAGAGGCCTAAAAAGAGGCGCCAAGAGGCCCCAAACGGCCCCACAGAGGCTCCAAGAGGCCACGAACGCGCAAGCAAACGCCTGCGATGGCACAATACGGGCCGGCGGAATGAGCGAAGCGATTAAATAATCCCTAGCAGCGTAAAGGATAGGCGAACCACCACTGGTACAGTGAAAGCCCGCCCTCCTTGCTTCACTCCCGCCTCTGGGTGTTCAACATCGCTCCAATGACTATCCAGGCTGAGCCACCCGGGGCTGAAGTCCGAGAGCACGTCGGGCCTCGGGTGCGGGACCGAGGAGGAAGAAAGCGCGGCGCGCATCTGCTGGTGCGTGCAGAGCCCCTGTCACATCTGCGACCAGTGGTCGAGACAGTGGGGTTGACGAAAGTGGCCCTTGAGCGAAATGGCCACGGGGAACTCTGTTTGGGGCTTCTCGGGCCGTCTTGGAGGCCCTGGGATCCCGCCTAGGTAGCCACAGGAGGACATGGGAACGGGCCCCAAAGACCATCTTTCCGTAGATTCGCCCCTCGCACTTCGTTGATGCAGAGAATACAACGACCTCTCCGAGGCACTGTGCAGCTTCTGTTTTGCATACTCTTGCACGCCATTTCACATGTGCATGTTACGACTTGCCCTATCATCTGCCGATGCGCCGTCTAGGCGCGGCCGTTTCCTGTCCTGCCCTGCCCCCTCGGTCTTCAGAGCGTCCTAGCGACGCGAAACGCCCCCTGGCGAGCCTCAAGAAACCAGGTTCTTCCCCAAACGTTTTTTTTCCCAACGTTTTGTTGTCCCAGCGTTTTTGCTGTTCCCGACGTGTTTCCCCCCCGTTTGTTTTCCCAGCGCTGTTTTCCCCCAGCCCTAGGAGCCAGCAGGCCCCCAAGAGGCCCTCATAGCATCTCAGGAAGCTCCTAAAGCACGCCCAAAGGAACCCCACCTGGCCCCCCGGCAAAAACTCCGCCCGAGGCTCCCACAAAAAAACCCTCCGAGGCTTCGTGCCATTGCACCGGCCGTGCAGACGTGTTGCAGCGGATTTCTGTTTGGATTTCTGCGTGCATGTTTGCCCGAAGCGGCGAGCGCAAAACGAAGTGAATGTTGCGTGGGCTCTTTGTGGTCTTTATTCCTGGCCAGAAGAAATCCGCACGAAATCCACCTCGACATCCACAACGAATTTCCGAACCAAATTTGCTCTGCGATGTTGGCGCCATGACTCGTGTCTAGGACCCAAGCACGGTGGCGGGATGGGCTGTCAATAACATAAAGAAAGCATGGATGAAACAACCGGCCGAACTCAGAAGAGGATGTGATTAGCAACAGACTATCCTGGGGATTGCTGTTGGGCGTTCTGGAACGCTCAGTGGTCTGGTGGCCTGGTGGTCTGGTGGTCGGGCGGTCTGGCAAACGACGACGTAGGCGCGCGCAAACGCAGACGAGCCCAGGGTGGAGGAGGCAAGAGCGCACCAAACTTGTCATGTGCACACTATATCCCCACTATAGACGCGCACTTCTGCTACATCGGCCTACTCTGCCAGGCAGGCCCGCTCGCCGCGCTGGCTAAAGCAATCTCAGTGGTGCTAGACGCGCTCCTGTTGCACGAGCCCCCTCAGTTAGACGGGCTCCCTCGCCAAACTGATCAAAACAAAAAACGCCTACTGTTACACTCGCTCCTGTGAATGATATGCGTCCTCTGTTAAACCGGCTCCCTCGCCAAGTGGATTAAAAAATCTCAGATGTGCTACACGCGCTCCACTGTTACACGAGCCCCCTCAGTTAGACAGGCCCCCTCGCCGAACTGATTAAACAGTTTTGTGGTGCTAGACGAACTCTCTTGCTAGACATGCGCCCCATGTTAGACAAGGCTCCCTCGCCAAGCTGATTAAACGAATCTCAGGGGTGCTAGACGCGCGCCTTCGCTAGACTCGCGCCCGCTGCGAGACCCGAACCTGCTTCGCCGTCGTCTGGGCTAGATCCGCGAGCTTGGCCCACAGGATGTTCTTCGTGCCCTCGAGTGCCCGCGCGGCGTCATCAGCCCGAACTTTCGCGTGGCTCCAGGTGGCGGCCCGCGGCGTGGGCGGATCGCGTCCGTCGCCCATGGCCGCGGCAGCGTTCTCCTCTGAGAAAGTGGAATGGAACCCTGCGGCCTCGAGGTTGAGCACCGGCGCCGTCCTCGCGATGCCAGCATTCAGCTGGCGCTCGCTGATCGGCGGCGCACCTGCGCCGAGGTGCGTCGTCAGCAGGTATGCGAAGGGCAACGCCACCTCGTTGAAGCGGACGTGCTCCTGCAGCATCACGGCGGGCGCGGGGAGTGCGAAACCAACGCGCTCGCCAGTAGTGAGACGAGCTTCCCTCGGCACCGAGCAGGCGGGCTGTGGGTCGCGGCCCGTTGCGTCGGCCTCCGCCAGCTCCTTCAACGGCCTGGAGGTCGAAGCCGCGGGGAACTCAGCCAGGGCGTCGGCGGGATCTGAGCCCCGCGCGGCATGGGCCGCGCCCTTAAGAACACGGGAAGCGTGGATCAACCCATCGATGAGCTTCGCCGCGTCATCCGAAGGATCGAAAGTCTGGAACTCGATGACCGACGAGCCGTGCAGCCCAATGAGGATGTCCTCGAATACCTGGGCCTTGCCTGTCGTAGCCCGCTCGACCAGCGCCTCCATGAGCGGGGTGTGGAGGGCCATGGCGCATGGGGAGATGGCTGCGTCAGCGGAGCCGATGCTGTTCAGGTCGGCGTCGGCGTTGCTGGGTTTCTCGATGGGGTCGCGCGCCGCCGCGTGAACCGCGCTGGTCTTCGAATCCTGCGCGAGCCAAAGAATCCCCCGAGCCCGCGCACCTTCGCGCACTTCAGCACCGCCGGAACGCGAGAGACGAGCGCCCCGGCGGTTGACCCGCGCTCTGCATGGCGCGCCCACTCCTGGGCGATTTCCACTGGGTCCTCGGGGGCGCCGCCGTCCAGCATCGCCAGCAGGCCCCGAAGTGCGTCCTGCACGGCGCGGCGCAAGATGCCGTTGTCCCCGATATTGGCCCAGGCGGTGCCCTTAGCGATGTGCTCGAGGAGCTTGTCCTTGATCGAGGCGTTCGCCGCGTCCATGGCCCGCGTCACCAGCTTCTTGAACCTCGCGGAGATGTCGTCACTGCTGAACACTTCCGTCAAACTCTTCAACTTCGGGGCCACCCCGCCCAGGGATGCGCTCTCGCTTTTTCACCCCGTTGGGGTCGATGCGGAGTAGAAGGTGGAGGCGCGGTCGGCGCTGATGGCGAGATCTGCGTTGATCGCGTGATCCCTGATTGACCGAGCGCAAGACCGCACGTCGGCATCTACCTCTTCGGTGTGCATCTCGCTCCACGCGGACATCGCCTCCGCGAGCAGCCCAAGGGCCTCTTCGAGGGGCCTCGCCACCAAGCCGTTCAGCACCTGCGCCGTCCTCGCGATGCCAGCATTCAGCTGGCGCTCGCTGATCGGCGGCGCACCTGCGCCGAGGTGCGTCGTCAGCAGGTCTGCGAAGGGCAACGCCACCTCGTTGAAGCGGACGCGCGCCTGCAGCATCACGGCGAGCGCGGGGAGTGCGAAACCAACGCGCTTGCCAGTAGTTAGACGAACTGCCCTCGGCACCGAGCAGGCGGGCTGTGGGTCGCGGCCCGTTGCGTCGGCCTCCGCCAGCTCCTTCAACGGCCTGGAGGTCGAAGCCGCGGGGAACTCAGCCAGGGCGTCGGCGGGATCTGAGCCCCGCGCGGCATGGGCCGCGCCTTTAAGAACACGGGAAGCGTGGATCAACCCATCGATGAGCTGCGCCGCGTCATCCGAGGGATCGAAAGTCTGGAACTCGATGACCGACGAGCCGTGCAGCCCAATGAGGATGTCCTCGAATACCTGGGCCTTGCCTGTCGTAGCCCGCTCGACCAGCGCCTCCATGAGCGGGGTGTGGAGGGCCATGGCGCATGGGAAGATGGGCTGCGTCAGCGGAGCCG